AAGCAACATTATTAAGGGCACAAGAGCAAAGAAGAGCAAACTATCCCACTGCATAGGAATGACAGAGTAACATGCCTTCTGGATGGGGGAGAAACGGTAGATGTGGTATATCTTGACTTTTGCAAAGCTTTTGATAAAGTCTCACATGACCTTCTCATAAACAAACTAGGGAAATGCAACCTAGACGGAACTACTATGGTGGGTGGGAAACTGGTTGGAAAACCGTTCCCAGAGAATAGTTATCAGTGGTTCACACCCCTCACCCCCTCTGTATATTTGAACAGCCCCCCAATTTCAATTCCCAGAGAAAACACTGTGCCTATCAGTGTTCCAAACTAATTTCAGCATACTTTAATGACAAAAATCAGGTTTACTCTTGTAAGTACTATAGAGATAATACAGCTAGGAGAGGGAACGCTGAGTTCTAAGCTCACTCTTAAATCCTCATCAGAGTTAATAAAGAACTGAATTCTGCTCCCACTGGAGTCAGTGTGAAAATAAACTTCAGTGGGGAACAGGATCAGACTCTAAGTTCCATTTGCAGAACTGTTATTATTGGTGGTGATGTATAGCCAGAACAGACAGACTTTGATTCAAGGTTGAGCTTTAAGGGCTTGCAGTTTAAAAATAAAACAACAAAAAAACCCAAGCTGTACATGTGGACTGAATAAGTTTGATGCAGAGCAGAAGCTGTTGAGAGAATTATGAAGCCATTTTTAGTCTCTTTTCAGAATCTAACCACAACTGGAAGTTTCTAGTTTCTCCATATTTTTTAGTTGAGCAAGTGAAAAAATTATTAGAAACATGGGGAGTGTGTGCATGGGGATGGGTATATGGAGGTTGTCATGCTTATATAACACAAGACCAGCTAAACTGCTTTTGCTCAAACTTAAAAACCTAATTAGTAGGTTAAAACCAAACAGCATTCTTTCTGGGATTAAACTTTCCATATGCATCTGAAAGGGGAGTTAGAACTGAAACTGCATTTCTGAACAAGGTATCAATTGCACTAGCAAATGCTACAATGTATTTTGATTGCCAAACAATGACTTTCTGATCAGAGAAAAACCAATCTTCTTTTTCCTTGTCACTTTCAACTTCCAAACAGAAAAGAAACACAACAAATCTCCCAGCACAGGGAACAGATTTGTTAAGAAGGTGCAATTGTTAGTTACTTTTCTGACCATAACTACCTTTAAAAAGCAAGTTAAGTTTGAAGAAAATATTTTTTTAAAGTCATGAATGTTGAAGTCAACAATTTTATACATGCACTTTTTTAAAAAAAGAACATGTTTTCTATTGCTTTGTTGGGTTGCAAAACACCAGAACTAGTTACTACTAAACTTCTTACTATGTAACCAAATATCAGCAATTTTTCTGTTTTGGGGCCTTCAAAGGCAGGTTCCACCTCTCCCTTCCCCCCACCCCTGTTTCTGTATAGAAAACTGGCCAACTGACATTCCCAACTGCCAAGAACCTTTTGACTTTAACATTCCATCCTCTCCACCTGTTAGAGGTCTCGCCTGTAATGGAATGCTAAACTGTATGATACTGTTCAGCCACTAGGTGGTGCTGTGTGAGACAAACCTTAATTAAGCTAACCTCAGCCACACCTGACAGGGCATTAAAGTATCTTGTTATAGGAAACACATCTGGTGTGTATCTCTATGAGAAGTCTGTAGTCAGTCCTTATCTGCTACAGAAACTTGACTGCTAGTAGCAGCCCTGCAACCTATTGTGTACAAGAAGTACATGACATCACTGAAACCCATTCTACTTGCTGTTTGAATAGCAGTAGAGCTGAAGAGTCTATCATTCAATGTGCTCCTTATTTCACCTGAACCTAATACAGCTGCAGGTGTTTCACCATAGCACAACCTTCCTCTAACTGCAATTGATCTAAGAATATCAACAGCCTTAGGACTATCTGATCTTTACAAGGTGCTGCACTCTTACTCTAGGTGATTGCACAGACTTGCCCAATCTTTGTTTTTTCACTAAAGACTCTTGTTTTATAGCCCACAATCTGGCTTTGCATCTTTTTCTTTCCGGATAACTGCTAGAAATTTCCCCCTTCCCCCCCAGTTGCTCAGGACTATATTCTTCTTATTTTTTAGGAAAAGCAGGGCTTGTTTTTAATAACTACATTATTTTTATTTAAACATTATATAACTGTAACACAAGAGCAGCCAGAGCCTGGTGTTGACTGCAACCGGCAGCTCTCTGCAGTTCAGAACCCCACCTTCCAAAATAGAAAATCACTTTTGATATCTGCAGCCACACTTGAATCCTGAGGTAATAATCAGCTGCTCCACCCTGAGGATGCTTTATCAGTTGCTTTGGGTAAGGTAAAAGGGGCTCATTGTCACCCACATGATTTGCATCTGGGACCAAGGGTGTGCAAAAGAACAGTCCCCCTTGTATGACCTAAACTCTCTGGGCCTTGTGATGGGTTTTGTTCTCCTCCCCATGCTAAGCAGTGACCACAGAAATCATCTTGCTCACTGAGTAACAGTGTTCTGGGGAGAGATGCAAATGGCCAGGTCCCTGTCAAGAGAAAACTGGCCTAGCCTGGTGGAAGAATGAGAGATGAGCACAGTCTGGGAAGGAGATGCCTGAGCCGTACTTAGATTAGGAAGGAATTGATAGACTGTGAAGGTAAAAGCTTGATGGGTTGTTTGTTTGGGTGGGAGGCTTGGAGAAAAGTAGAGAATACTGTAGTGGGGTGTCTTGTTTCAGAGAGTCCATTCATAAATGACTACATCCTTGAAGGGAGAAGCTGGTTTACAGGTGTGATTCAGCATGATGAGAGATGAGCAGAGGGGAAGTTTAAGAGGTAAGGGACAGATGGGGGAGTCAACTGTGAATATATACAACCTATAAAAATGTTAGTTTTACATAAGTTAGTTTACACCTTTTTGACGGGCCAATGTAGGTAGGTCTGTGGTGTAACTTAGCAATACTGCCCAACTTAGACAAACTGCAAAAGGGATCATTAAGCAAAACCGCAGCCTGCTAAGTTTTGTCTTGGCTAAGAAAATGTTCACTCTTCCCAGTGACTGGCAACTGCTGATTCCCCCAGCATAACCTCAATGAAAGCTGAAGAGGCAGCTATGCAGAATACCATGAGGAAGTCCTTGGGGGTGGGAGGTACATAATGGGTCAGACCAAAGGTCCATCAAGCCCAGTATCCTGTCTTTCAACAGTGGCCAATGCCAGGTGCCCCAGAGGGAATGAACAGAACAGGTAAGCATCAAGTTATCCTTCCCTGTTGCTCATTCCCAGCTTCTTTGGCAAACAGAGGCTAGGGACACCATACCTGCCCATTCTGACTAATAGCTATTGATGGACCTATCCTCCATGAACTTATCTATTTCTTTTTTGAACCCTGTTATAGTCTTAGCATTCCACAACATCCTCTGGCAAGGAGTTCCACAGGTTGACCGCGTTGTGTGAAAAAATACTTTGTTTGTTTTAAACCTGCTGCCTATTAATTTAATTTGGTGACCCCAGAGTTCTTGTGTTATGAGAAGAAGTAAATAACACTTCCTTATTTACTTTCTCCACACCAGTCATGATTTTATAAACCTCTATCATATCCCCCCTTAGTTGTCTTTTTTCCAAGCTGAATAGTCCCAGTCTTATTAATTGCTCCTCATAAAGAAGTTTTTCCATACCCCTAATCATTTTTGTTGCCCTTTTCTGAACCTTTTCCAGTTCCAATATCTTTTTTTGACCACATCTGCATGCAGTATTCAAAATGTGGGCATACCATGGATTTATATAGAGGCAATATGATATTTTCTGTCTTATTATCTAGCCCTTTCTTAATTATTCCCAACATTTTGTTTGCTTTTTTGACTGCTGCTGCACATTTAATGTATGTTTTCAGAGAACTATCCACAATAACTCCAAGATCTGTTTCTTGAGCGATAACAGCTAATTTAGACCCTGTCATTTTATATGTATAGTTGGGATTATGTTTTCCAATGTGTATTACTTTGCATTTATCAACACTGAATTTTATCTGCCATTGTATTGCCCAGTCACCCAGTTCTGTGAGATCCTTTTGTATCTCTTTGCAGTCTGCCTGGGACTTAACAATTTTGAGTAATTTTATATCATCTGCAAATTTTGCCACCTCACTGTTTACCCCCTTTTCCAGATCATTTATGAATATGTTGAATGGGACTGGTCCCAGTACAGACCCTTTGGGGAAACCACTATTTACTTCTCTCCATTCTGAAAACTGACCATTTATTCCTACCCTTTGTTTCCTATATTTTAATCAGTTACCAATCCATGAGGACCTTCCCTCTTATCCCATGATAGGTAGGAGTATATCAAGCTGTGAGAATCTCACGGGTAGTGGGATATTTGTTATAAATTATGTGGGGAAGTGAGTGAGAGCTCTAATCACACATGGACTGCCTTCACTAGGGGAAAAAGTGTTCTTAACTTGTGTGTAAACTACAAACTGGCTTGTCTTCATTAGAGTTCATCTTGCAATAGTTAAATCGATTGAGAACACAACCTTTGTTCTCACAGTGGGGCGAGGAAGGTCATGGGGGAGTTGATAGTGGAGACAGCATGGGGGTTAGCTGTGAATGTGTGTTTAGAGATGTAGCGATTTCGTTGTAAATGCCTGTGACTAGCCTTCAAGTGTACGTCTTATATTATAGGCGTCTTCTTTATTTACAATACTTATTTTCAGTCTAGTCTGAATACAATAGTAAATAACAAGAAAATGCATAGCGGGCTTTTTGCAAGGGGGAGGGAGGTAGGAAAGCTGCATGCCCCGCCTCCCACTCCTCCTCGCAAGAGGCACTCCCTCGCCTCCTAGGGAATTGGACTCTATTAGAGTATAGGATGAGACCTTCCTGGGCGGACAGATTATCCCACACCTTCCTGCTGGAGGGTTTCTTGTACTGTATCTATTCCTGTGTTTTCAATTCTATGGAAGGGTTGGAGGCATGCGGGGTGGGGGTTGTGTGTGGTGCAGTTGTATGGGAGGACGCAGCATTGGTGTGTGTGCAGGATGTGAGGCAAGTGCATAGGAAGGCAAAGTGGGTGCAGTAGCCGTGGTGGAGTGGCAGAGCCGGGACTATGATGCTGGAGACCGGTTCCACGGAATCCCATTTGCGGAACTTCAATTGCCCCTTTGAGCCCCCATTTCAAGCTGTGAATGCAGTGCACCACGGAGACTGATTTATTGCGATGCGCAGAAAACCAGGAGGCGGGAGCATGCGCAGAAGAGAGCATATTGAAGCTGGTGAGTAACGCATGCGCATTGTAGAGAGAGGAAATAAATCCGAACGAGCAGCGTGAAGCATGCGCATGCGGGCCCCGCCTGGTCCTGCGCTAAGGGGAATTCGATTAGTTATTTACGGTAACAGAAGTCGAATGAATTTAGAACCTCTGCGCTTCCCGTAGTGCGGACTGTACCAAGCCGGCCGGGGGAGAGGTGCATCGCGGCCAGGCCCGGCCGTTCGCCCAGCGCCTTTGGGCAGACGCACGCAGTGGCCGGCTGTGTGACTTGAGGCGCACGTAGGGAGGCGGGTGAGTATCAGGCAGGCCCGGAGTGCGATGGGGTCGGAGTGTACGGAGGCTTCCCCTCCCACCCCGCGGTCTGCAGTGCAGTGGCGGCGCCGGCGGAGAGACGGGGCTGGGGGCCGCGGCTGGGTAATGGCAGCGCTGTGAGGAGGGGGAGCGGGGCAGGGACTGCAGCCTCAGGACACGGAAGAAGGAGGGAGGCCGGCCGGCCGGCTGGCTCAGGCCTCTGCTGCCAGGTAACCCCGCGCTGGAGGCGCCTCTGGCTTCCCAGCGAATGCCGGGGGGAAGCGGAGCAAGGGCTTCCCGGCGCCGAGGGGGTATGACCTCCTCGCGTATGGCCTGGATCCGCTGGGCCCGTCTCGGGGGGGGATGTTACCGCCGAGCGCATTTGCTGGCCCTGCGCCTCCCGAGAGGGCTGACTGCTTCCGCACCTCCCCAGGGATCTGTTGGCTGCTCCCCAAAACCTCTCGCCCTCGTGACGGGTTTTGTTCTCCTCCCCACGCTAAGCCCCGCCGGGTTGAGGTCCCGGCCATGTTTGGCTCTTTGCCCCCGTTCTGAGTTGTTCCTCGCAGGCCCCGGAATCCGCCCCCCGGGGGAATGTTACACCCCCGTCCCCGCCAGTTTCACTTTTGGTTTGGGAGTGAATAATGTGGGTGTGGAGGGGTTAGGGAGGTGAGGGGCCCACTGCCCGCTCACTGATTCCGCTCCTGGGCGATTTCCAGGACCTTGGTTGCTGGACTTGGCCAAGTTAGATCTTTTCCATGTTCCAACTTAAGTAGCCAATATCTTGTCCCCTGGCTGGCTCCCCACACTCCACCTTTGTGTGCCTTTTGCTTTCACAACATATTTATATAGCTGAGAACTATTGGGACCTGCATGTGGTCACACAACCTACATTTATCACATTTAATAGTTCCCCACTCATAAATAGAACATATAACGATGGGAACCAAAGGCTGTCTGCTTCTAATATACGATGGGGTTAAAGTGTATCTACCTGGTTTTTCACTAGTGCAAACGCTTGGTGTAGAGAAGACCTGCACTGATGCATCTTGCTCTGAAGTAAGCTGCATTAGTTTACTTTTTATATTAGTGCAGTGTGTCCACGTTGTAGCTACACTTAAACGCAGGAGTGTTTGTCTGACACCCCCTTATAGACAAGCCATACTGAATTTTCTGAGGATTAATTAGTTCATCTAAAATGTTTTTAAATTATAAAAAGAAATTATGTAAATACTTTATTATAGTTTTAACTCCAGCCATGTGTCCATCTCCAATAAGCACTCTATCTCAAACCAGTTAATATTTGACATTTGTGGGTGTGTTTCTTTCTCTTTTTTTTGTGGGGGTCAAAAAGGATATGAAATTGATATACAGATTACATATATTCAGCACCACGGAAATACAGCTTCATTGGTCCTGCATACCTCATGGGGGAGATATTTTCTTCAATCAAGTTAGTTTCTCATGACAGGAAGAAAACTCTTCCTTGTGTAGAGATACTTAGAGAGAATTGGGGCAGCAACAAACTGGTGTACAGCATGCTATACAACCCTTTTGAGGGGATGCTGCTGACATGTGGGGACATGGCTATTAAACCCTGCTCATACAAAAAGTGCCATGGGAGCCTTCAAACTCTTAAAGAGCAGAGATAACTTCTGCTTAGGTCTCATCAAAAGTGTTCCCACATATTTTAATATACTTGTGTGATTAATCCTTTTAAATAAAGACAAGTTACTAATTTTTGTTGGTTGCCAAAGACATGCTTTATTGTGGTTTGTTTCTTTTAGTGGAGTTCATCTTCCTTTTGGAAGACATACCCCTCAAATCTCTTCCCTTCCTGGGATTTTTTTTTTATTTTTATTTTTTTAAGAAGGAAGGGACCTCAGGAAGTCATCTAGTCCAACCCCCTGCTCAAAGCAGGGCCAATCCCCAGACAGATTTTTGCCCCAAATTCCTAAATGGCCCCCTCAAGGATTGAACTCACAACCTTGTGTTTAGCAAGCCAATGCTCAAACCACTGAGCTATCCCTCCCTCCATTATAACTTGTTGCCATTTTTGTCAATTCATGTTAATACCCTGTTTCCCCGAAAATAAGACAGTGTCTTATATTAATTTTTGCTCCCAAAGATGCGCTAGGTCTTATTTTCAGGGGATGTCTTATTTTTCAATGAAGAAGAATACGGTACACATTTTTTTGCCTTATTATCGGGGAGGTCTTATTATCGGGGGGATGCCTTATATTACAACGAGAGGCAAAACTGTAAGTAGGCCTTATTTTCGGAGGATGTCTTATTTTCGGGGAAACAGGGTAGTAGCAATATATTATCTCTGGATTCTGGAAAATACCTTTTCTTTAAACATAGTAGTGTCCATTTTATAAATGTTTTGAATATTTATACTAAACTGAAAATACTAATACATCATTTGGTGTGTGTTAATAGTAGTAAGTTTGTTTGTTTTTTTTTAGCAGGAAAAAGGTTCCTGTTTTAGAACCTAGGACAGTATCTTGATGTAACTTGATATTCTCATCTGTATAAATGTCCAATACTACTCAGAATCCTACTAAGCTCTCTGCCTTCATGTTATTCTAGTAATGAGTTCCACAGGCCAGTTTTTTAAAAGTATTTCCTTTTATCAGTTCAAAACTTGCTGCCTTTAAATTTTATTAAATTTCCCTTTGTTATTGTTGGAGAAGGTAAGTAGAAGTGCCTGATCTACTGTCTCTTAAATCATGCATTATTTTGTATGCTTTTCCCATCTTCCTGCTTTGTGTCCTCTCAAACTACACAGACCTAATCTTTGCAGTATTTATATGCAAGTTTTTCCATGCTTCAGATTGCTTTTGTCAGGGATCTCTGAACATCTTCTATTTCTACTATATCCGTTTTAGAGAAAGTGGCTAATATTGAATACGGTCTACTAACACTTTTTGTCTTTTTGGCTGCCGTTACATATTGAAAAGAGGTGTGTGTTTTTTGTTTTTTTTTAAATTTTATGCATTTGACAGCACTTTGTCAATTTCAACTATTTTGTTCATGGCCAGGTGCTCTTTTGTCTCATGTGCAAGCATGCACTTCTGTGGGAGGAATTCATGTGTACAGTCTTTCCTGTGCCCTACGAAGGGGTATACCAGTAGCATAAAAAGCTGCTCCTGTTTCTGAGTTTGGGACCCAGAGGGAGTTGGCTTTTATCTAAAGCTATCTGGATCTTTGCTTCCTTGGATAGGACAGGCTTTACCTTACCTATTTCTCAGAATTTTGACTCTTTGAAGCACTGATATTCTACCTTCATTCTGAGGCCAACTGTCAATGGCCTTGTTTCTATTGCTTTCAAGCAATCCTTGCTGACCTCAGATTCTGTTTGGACATTGTATAGAAGCCGTACACAGCAACTATGTAATCCACTGGGCTAGGAACCATTCAGTAAGGAGGCAAGATTATTGCTGAAGTACACTTAGGATAGTTTTCAGCCAGTAGTGAAGACTCCAGCCAGCAGTTACTATGTAGTAGGTGAGTGTGCTGACACATGCAGTGAATTCCTAAATGTTACCAGGCTAGTACCCTTCAACTTGATCAGCTTTGTCACAGATGGGGAGTCATTACTCCTTGAGAAAGAAGACTATTTTTCTCTCGGAACAAGACAGTTAAGGTCATTGAATAATAATCCTTTCAAGGCTTCAGTGTAAAACACGAATAATTTTCCAACAGATCAAGATACATAACAAAGGATGGACTTTCTGGATGATGATGAACTTTCACTGTTGTTCAAGGTGGCTAAATTAAACCTGTTACTGAGTGCCTAAGGATTGTCACTTCAGTGTTTTAGGAGATCACATTGTAATACTGCAGTGCACAACCCAAAATTTTACACTGAACATCTCTGACTTTAAGGATGGACTGCCTCCTTTTGCCCCTCCTTCTCATACAAAAGTTCATAAGTACTAGAGAACCTTGTGTATTCAAGTAGTGCCAATATGAAGGATTGTGAGGAGGCATCTCTAATTAAGAATGTACAAATACAGGTCTTTCTGCTTCTCATGGACCAAGCACTGCAAGTAGTTGAGCTACAATGCTGTACTCTTCAGTGTCCGTTGACTATTTGTCATATCCTTGAGGGTACTAAATCATGAAGATATGGAAGTGCAGGGATTCAACTAGAATAGAGTAAGTAGCTGAGATATATATATATATATATATATATATATATAATATGGAGAGAGAGCTCGCAAGCATGATCATCTCAAAGTCTCAAGGGTAGAGTCTGTCCAATTCACCATCAAGTGTTAGGAACTATGTAACAGCATGTGAAGAGCATAAGTCTAACTCTTAACTGAAAGGGATAAGGAAGAAATTTTTATGGGAATAACCTTCCCTGCCCAGAGATCCATTGTCTATGCAGGGTTTATTAATTTTTGTTTCTTGCTGCTGCCAGACACAGGATGCTGAACTAGCTAGACCACTGGTCTGATCTAGTATGGTAATTCCCGTGTTTTAAGTTGACTGTTATCCCTTAACCTATGGCTCACTAGTTTAATCACAACATGTGGAGTCAACTCTACCTGGTTTTAGGATTACCAAGTATTCACATAACATAACATTATTAAAACCATTTGGAAAGAATGTGTTGCCTAAGCTACTAACACTTGCTCATTCTGTTAGCAGCATTTGGACGAATTCAAATACCGTTTTTTGAAATATGTTTCTTCAGTGGGTTACAATGTTAACCCTCTGTTTATTTTGTGTGTGCATGTGAAAATATGTATAGTCAGTATAGCAAATTTATACTTGTGTATTCCTCTGGAAAACACAACTTTTTGACCAGCAAAAATATAGAACTATTTTTTCATTGTTAATCATCGGAGTAAGAGGTGGGGCTAGAGTTTTGTGCATGGTCTGACAAATTTTCATGTTAAATATTGGTGGTCTGAGATAGATCTAGGACACACAATACTAACTTTTTTTTATATCTTTAATGTATTCAGCATGCTTGTACATCATCTGATAAACTGTAAGCTCCTTAGGGCAGGGACAATCTTACTTTGTTCAGAAGCAACCAAATCACATTTCATAGCGTTATGTGAGAATGTTAAGTTGTACACATTCAGTGTTCCTGTTAAATGTACATTATAAAACACACTGTTCAGTGCAATTTGGCAGATTTGATGTTACTTTTTAGAGACCTTAACTTTAGTCTTCATAGATTTGGACTTTGTGTGACAATGTTAGAATAAGAGGTGCATATTTAATTTTTTACATAGGGTCCTTGATGCACAATATTACACCAGTGTACATAGTTATAATATGAAGAGAAAGTTTAAAGGTGATGCTTTTAAAGAAATTACTGTTTGCTTTAAAGGAAGAAGAGTTTCAGGACTCTACCAGTTACTTTCTAAAAACTCTTGAAACGTGCTGTTTGACTGCTTCTTAATGTTTAGGAGGTTGAGACTAACACTTTTTTTCCCCCCTACAGATTAACACTAAATCCCCACAATGTCCCTGAAACCACGAGTAGTTGATTTTGATGAAACATGGAACAAACTTCTAACAACAATTAAAGCTGTTGTAATGTTGGATTATGTTGAAAGAGCGACATGGAATGACCGCTTCTCGTATCCTTTAAACAGTATTTCACCTTTATTTTTCTACATATGAATATACTTAGCACAAAGTGCAATGGGCACTCTGTGCTAACCCACTAATGTGGGCTTGATCATTAAAACGAATGAGATTTTCACTGACTTCAATGAGCTTTGGATGAGGTGTTGAGAGGAAGACCTGTGGTTTTATACAAACTTAATTGTTGTTCACTGTTGTTTTTGTATAGAAGTGGAAATAATCAAATCTATTTTTCACATTGCTTTCAGCAGGATAAATCTTAATAGGTGTAACCAGAGCTGTTTTAACTGTTTTCTTTCCCTTCCAAAGAGGTATTTGTTTTTGTTGTTAAACTCATTTATATCAATCTTCCACTACCCTGGAACTGTTCTTGCTCAAAACCTCTATTGGTTGAGACTCCCCATCCTTATAAGCAAGCTACTTTAATTATACATGGAAGTAAAACCACTTATTGGTTTTAAGTATTCTTCATAGCATGTAAAGACATAATTGTTATAACTTAAATCACTTCAATGAATTAATAGTGGCCAGGGCAAAAACTTCTGCCACATTAGAAACTCACATCCTGCTTTAATGCCATTTACCATTTTATTCTTCTCCAACAGCTAAGGATAAATAATTTTTCTTAAATGTAGTTTGTGGTGATACTCTTCTCTTTTACGTATAGTCTTATGATGTGAAGGGTCTTACTTTTTGAGAGAGAAGCATAGTTGTCGCAACTAAAATAGGCTTGTAGAATAATGAAGAGGCATAACCTACTGACCTATTTTTTTTTTTGCCTTCAGAGGAAAAAGCTGCCTTGTAATGGGGAATAATGAGTGAATTCTAAGTGACTTTTCAGAGACTCACCTGCAATCTGAATTCTTCTGACAAGCAGTAATTTTCAGATCCAAGAGTCCAGATACTACAGGACAGATTTTGATGCATAGATTTCTACCACATAAATATACAAAAAGGGAAGAAGAGCCTTTTGAGTCTACGTCTGTTTAACAAGCTGTGTTTGCATTTCAGAGTAGATGGCCTTCTATTGTGTCCATGTTGCTGTCCCTAAAGAATAACATAAAATTGAGTTGGTTGCAAGTCTACTTACCACCTCACTTTCAAGGACAATAAGTTCTCTGATGGCTCTTGCATTAGAAACCCTTTTATAATTGCACTTCTGGAGTCATGACTTCTCACCCTCTCTTTAGGACAACCAGATTTAAAAAGCATTGTTATTTCTATAATTTAAAAAGTCACTACTGATTTGGTTTGAGAGGACTTGCATTTTGTCAAATTGTTCTGTTACTCTTTAACTGCAAGTGCAACTCATGAAAACCAAAAATAAGCTGTTTAAGAACTGCATATTCCAATCTCAAAAGGATGCATAAATCAAGGTTGTAACTCTGAGCTGTAGAAGTTAGCCAGAATCTTAAAAAAAAAAAAAATTAGTAAATTCAAAATACTTGCAAATTTACATTTGTTTTACACTCTTCAAGAGCCTGCAAAGGAATAAGATAAGTGTTCCTGCCCTGATGATCACCCACCACAGCGTGTGTGTGTGTGTGTGTGTGTGTGTGTGTATATATATGTGTGTGTGTATAAAAATTTTTAAATTGTACATGGGAGCCTTGTTTTAAAAATTCAAGCTGGCAGCATTTCTCGTGTTTCAGAAACATTTGAAATTGTTACGTCATAAATCACTGGAGCTGGATTTTTTTTTAATCTATTTCAAAATATTTCCTTTTTCCTATATAACCCCAATTTGTAACTTTTGTGTGAGGAACATAAAGATTATTTTTGAACCATGCGTGATAAATTTTGTACTGTTCCCCCTTCAGAACTTATTCTCCAGCTTACTGAACATCAGTCAACTAGAGAACGCACACTAGCAGACTCCCAAAATTTGCTTAGTGGAGGCCCTTGGTGTAATTCCTAGGACCCCAGTGGTCAAACTCTGAATTCCATTCTAGGAAGGTGGCAGCATGGTGACTATTTTGGCATCTTGCAGCTATAGGAGAGGAGATCTTCTTGGAATACCCACTGCACCTGCGTAGCATGATGAGCTTCTGTCAGCTTGTAGTTTCTAAGCAAAGATTGGCTCTTTTTGGAGCTGCTTCTAGCTTAAGTAAATGATATACTTCAACACAAGTCTCATTGGTGGGTATTCAAAACTTAATAAAATTACCAATTTTTTTTCTATACAGTTAGTATTAACAGTTTATTTCAGATTTGGAACAATCATTTAGTAATTCAGATGCTCTGATAGTGACACTTGAAAAAAAAATAAAAAGCTAGTTTTAAAAAGCCAGCTTGTTTTTTTGTTTTAAAAAAGTGGATTGCACACGCACGCGAGCGCACACACACACACACACACACAAGCTTCAGATGTCTTGCTTAAATGAAAATAGTTTAGTTTGGAACAACCTGTCTCTTAAGATCGTTCCGATTTTAGATATTTGTAAGGGCTTTAACCTTTATACTAATTTGTCTTAAATGTGTATTAAGGAAATGTTACACCATTTGCCTTTATTTTTCTTGCTTTTTGTTAGACTTGGTAACCTAGAGAAGTAATGTGGCTAAAGAATTTTGAACTGTGTAGTATTAAAACTCTCTCCCTATTTAGCACACTTACTCATTATAGCACCATTGATCAGTCTGATCTGTTTAAAAAGTTGATAGTATAAATAAACTGATGATATAACCAGAAGATGGGTATGAAGAATGGGGAGGAGGAGGAAGTATTTAGTTTTTAAATGTGGTGTGGTATGGTATTAGAAACTTCATATTTACTGTGAATAACTTTAACAATATATATATATTGTTACAGAAAAAGGAATCCAGTTGATTCTAGACCACATTTTGTAGCAGTGTACTATCGTACACTGCAAAGACCTACTTGCAGTAGTTGAGATGGGCTTAGGTGGTCAAAGTGAGTCTTTGGTATTTCAATGAGGGATGGTGCTCTCAAAGGATAATCTCACTTCTGGAATTTGCTTCTCCCCTCTGTTCCAACAGAGCCTGAGGTTTGTTGATCTTTTTATAGGGTTGTCGTTTTTTAGTTAGGATAATTCTCTTTAAAATGACGAAAACAGGATAAATGAGTTTGGGATACCAACTGAATAGTGTTACCTGCTTCTGATAAGGAGCAACTCATAGACTCTCTATTTAAAGCATGACTAATTTTTAGCTACCTTTTGACCTTCAGATTTCCTGTCTGCACCTCTGCAGAAATAAAATCGTTCTGGTGTTATTTCACTACGCAGTGTTATCACAGTACAGATGCCAGTTTGGTTTTGTTTAAAACTTGTTACTGTAAGTATCTTAGCTATTGAGAGTAACTTTTTAATTTAGAAAGTTAATGTATTAAACAAATTGATGTGGCAAAGCTTCTAAGCAGTAACTTGCAGGACAACTGTACTTTTATCAGATTTTATTGGGCTAAGGTAGCTAACTGCTTTCTACACACTGTTTAACAGTAAAAGTAAATCTTTAGAAAGCGGATGTTCAACAGTGTAGAATAGTGTGGCGTTATGTTTTTTCCTTTTTTTTCTGTTCCACAATATGAAGGTCCACATTTAATTGAGGATTCCAGGTGCCTTTGCTTTTCACGCCTGCATAGTCACTTTTTCAGCCAACCAAATAGACTGAGGGACACCCGAAATAAAGGATCCTGTATATAGAATATTTCAATTGGGTATAAAATGCCAGCAGCATTTCCTGCTCTGTTCACCCTAACATTTCACAAAGGATTCTGCAAGAGACTAGAAATCTGGGAGTCTGGATTTACATTTTGTATTTTTTTTTTTGACACTTCCATCTTAATTACACTTTTAAATAGGATGCCAGCATAATTCTCTTCACATTGGAGTCTGTTGCATGGGCATGGTTGCCAGTCTTCAGAATGGGATGTGTCCTTCCCTTGTCAGCTGGTTCCAGATGACTTATCTGTATGAGAATTCTCTGGAAGTTCTGCTTCTGTCTGATGATGCACATCAGTTCAGAGACTTGTGCTACTATATAATTCTAATCTGGATGGGTTTTTGAAACTTGGGATGTGAGTATTCAGGAGGATTTGGGGACCTCAGAGGTTATGTTGATAATATTTATTCACCCTCTCTAGATTCTCTCCTTAGCCTGAGGTGAGCCTAGTTTTGCATTGCTGGCTCAGGCACAGTGCAAGTGGCAGCTGCCATTCGCAATGTCACACACATGCTCTTGCAACCTTTTCTCTCTACCTGAGGCACAAGTGGCACATGTCCCCAACTTATTTGGCATTGGCCAGCTGTCAGGTTTAGGGCTGAAATAAAAGGACAGCTGGCTTCCATTGTTCAAGATAACTCCTTGCATAGTAGAAGCAGGATTCTATTCCATCTCCCAAAAGGTCAGGAGAGACCTCAGGACAGAAATGGCTAGGCACGTCTTAAAGTTTGGAAATTTGTTTTTGGGACATATTAGCAGGGATTTTTAATCACCCTTTTCTTAGAGGCACTTCCTTCGTGAGGGAAGAGGTATTTCTTTTAACAAACTGTGAGGACAAGTTTGGCTGAGGAGTCGCCTCCAATATCGCTAAGCTAGCTATGTATGTGAACTCTCACACTTTTTTCCTCTGTTTCTGGAGCCAACAGTTTAGAAGAAAAATCTGAAGTACTCAATCTAAACATAATTCTATCGAAGGCACAACAAATTTGTTTTGCCATGTCTCACTGCTACTCATAAGGCTCTTCCACTTCAACCAAGAAACAAAGTGAGCTTACTCTTGTGCCAGGATGGGGAAGGAAGAACCCCCAAAACAAACTTTTTCCTTCTTATTCCTGATACTGTATTCAAGAGATTGTCTCTCTGATTCAGTTACTGTTTGACTCCATTGGCCAGAAAAGGCCAGAGAAGCTGCAGATCCAACCTGAGTTAAATACTTTTCTGAAGGGCCAAACAGGAGTTGGTGATACTAGTGCACAAATTGATAAAATTATTTGCTTAGAGTGGGAAGCTCCTGTGAAATCCCAACAGTATAGACAGGTTTCAGAGTAGCAGCCGTGTTAGTCTGTATCCGCAAAAAGAACAGGAGTACTTGTGGCACCTTAGAGACTAACAAACTTATTAGAGCGAAAGCTTATGCTCTAATACCTTTGTTAGTCTCTAAGGTGCCACAAGTACTCCTGTTCTTCTTTTTACAGTATAGACAGTTGCTTATATTCAGCATGCTTACAGAAGCCAAGAAGTAGTTGTGCAGATTCCTCAAGTAGCTGTGGCGTCAGCTGTAGTTTCTTAGTTGAGTATAAAGTTTATTCCAGATAAGGGATACTGCTGATCTATTTGGTCTTTAGGGAAGAATTCTGGTCATAGAATAGCAGGGTTGGAAGGGACCTCAGGAGGTCATCCCCCTGCTCAAAGCAGGACTAATCCCCAAATGACCTCCTCAAGGATTGAACTCACAACCCTGGGTTTAGCAGGCCAATGCTCAAACCACTGAGCTATCCCCCCTTTTGCATTGGCAACTGTTTTGACAGAAGCCTGAATAATTTATTTTAATAGGATAGCCTTGAATAATGAGTTAGGTCTGTCAGGGCAAGAAAATTTAAGTTTAGTACCGAGAGAGAATTCTGCCATCTGCATTTCTGGCAGGTTGTCTCATTTGACACTATTAAATGACACTATTCTCTACTTTTGCTATCGCTTCTAACCTAGGCAGGTGTGCTTGCTTACTTGGAAGGCAGATGGATAGGTGAAGTAGCTTCATCTGTGTTTTATTTAAAAAAAGCTTGTGTTGAGTCATTTGGGCAAAGCAGTTATGGCATCTAGTGAAAGGGACAATTCCTTTACTGTCTACAAGGATGGAAGATTTTCTGAGCCTGGCGCTATAAGAAAAGAGAAAATTCTCCATACATTGACAAGGCTTGGAATGAAGATGGGAAGGGGAACTGGGGTTAATCTCCAGAGCCTCTTTAGATCCAGCAAAAGCCAATTTGATGCCTCTATCGCACTAAAGTAAGGGCAAACTCGCTATATATTAAAGATAAACAAACTATCACATATACACAGGATTTAGAGGATATAAAGATAGGATATGCTCTGGAGCTGCTTTAATCCTGCTCCTCACAACAAATTATCCCCAGCTTTCTCCAGTCTGGTAGTGACGTATAGTGTCAACAGCCAGTTCTAATTTTTGTAAACTGAGGCACTTAAGCTATCCCACAGAGAGCAGCATTTAGGGAAGTTGATACTGTATTCTTTGTGGTCCCCAGGAAGTATGGCACAGTGAGCACTTCTGGCACTTGAAGGGCACATCTTGCTCATGAAAATCAGCAAGCTCAGGATGGAAACTCTGGTTTCTAGCTCTTTGTCTATCCAGAGTTATTGGTACCCTCATGAAGTTGCTGTGTACTGTGGTATTCTCTATAAACATCTTGCCTTGGGCCCATGAGGACTCTGCAAGTTTGATTCTCAGAAGCTGGCCATACAGCTCCCTGAAGGAAAAGGAGCTAAAGATTCCACCAAGAGATATGGATGTGAGTCTGCTCAGTTTGAGCACAAAGGGGAGCCATGAGTCAGAACTTGTTTTCTGTTACCACATGAGTTTGGAACCATCAGGCTATGAAAGACCTATAATTTCACCTGGACTAAGCACGTGTCTTCATCCATGTCAAAGTCTTGACTATAGAATAGTAAATAAACAGCAGAATCCTGGAGTCTCTTTTCTCTAGAGACACCAAAGTCCTACTTCAGTGGATTCAGTTGTTTGCTTTTATTCAAGAAGGTTCACGCTTGACTCTGCAATAGAGTGGATAAGCAGGCTGCAGCTTCGCCTGGGAGTAAGTGTCTCAATGAGTTTTTCACTTTAGTGTCCCAGTGGGGTGTTACCAAGTTTTGGATCTCTGTCAAATCTCAATGCAAAGATGTGCTTTTCAAGGACAAGAATGCCAGGGTTGGTGTCTTGGTAACCATGGCTAAGCCACCGCCTGTATGCCCTCCCCCCCCCCCCCCCAAGCCAAGGATCTCCCCAAAATCAGAGTACACAGAACTATTCACTGATCTCCATCCAGGAGGTTGTGGTGGTATTCTGTAATGGAGAATTTGAGACCACCCCTACGATCATTCTGCTGCACCTTCTGTGTTTGCGTTCCACCCCTGCAGCCAAACCCAGCCTGGCTGTTGACAAGAAAAAAATTGACTTTACTTTGTCTCCACTATTCTGTTTTCTGTGCTACAGTATCGTGGAAAGTGGGCTACATTTGCCTGTTTCCCTGAAAAATCAGGCAGCTTGCTGAAAGCTGAGATGTCATATACCCATAGAAAATCCTTCCTGAATAAAATGGCGACATAGTGAATATCCTCAATTCCCCAGAGAAGCCCTACTGTATCCATTCATCCCATGTATCAAAATTTCTCAAACTGGCTAATCCGCACTCTAAGTTATCAACCTGGAAATTCAGCTAGGTCCTGCCTTTTCTAATGTGTCATCCCTATGAATCCTTGGTATAGTGCCAACCACGCTGTTAAATGATTGATAAATTTGTTTTACCAGGATTTCCATCCAATATTTTCTTCTCTCTTTGCCCGCTGAGGAGAACCCTTCTTGTAATCTATCTGTGCGTGGAGTATTATATTAATATAAAACTTTACAATTCTTGGCTTTTAAGATGCCAGCTGCCACATAAACCCCTTTCTGACTTATTTATTTTTGTACTTCAGTATTTTCATATTATCACTTGCATTTAAAACTAAGAATTAGGTTTGGAAATTTTCTTTGAAATCTCTTTGTATATTCTTTTATTGGTGTTGAATGAGCAAATGGCTTGCCTGCTGTCCATCTCCTTTTAAACTTTTAGCAGGCATGCAAACATGCCGTCCTAAAATAATGTAGTATATGATTAGAGGAAAATGGGTCACATATGCTATCTTGCAGTTCAGATAATCTTTTGTATGCAAAGGTTTATTTCTGAGATACTGTATTTCTAGCGTGGTTGATTACATAAACTTGGATCAGCATGAATGGGTTTTCATTTTTTCTTTTGCATTTCTATTTTAAAAGATTACTAAGCAATATTAACCTTAAAAAAATGACCTAGTGTCCCTAATGCCATCTGTATGGGAATCCTCCTTATTCTAAAATGTATATTGTTTCCTTGACCAAGTGATAGTGTTGAGAAAAATTACTTTTTCTAGTAAACTTTCCAAACTACATGCTTTGTGCTTGCTTTAGTCACACTTAACTAAGCAAGTCTTAAGAGCAAAAGTGGATCCATTCTTCAGTGTCCGTTTCTCTCCGTATCCCAAAAATAGTGAGCATAAAAATTCTAATATCTTAATCATAATTGTATATAGCATGGAGATGATTTTTGGCAAATAAAAATAATCTGTTTTGGTTGAGAGTGAGAAGTAATTATTCAGTTTTTGAGATTACCTAATGTTCGTGTATAGTGGAGTTTTTTTTTGTGGGGTTTGTTTAATTGTTAGTGTCCTTGTCTAAATAAGAACCTCCTAGGGATTTCCTCTTTTTGAGATAGCTAGGTTAAAGATAAAATACTGTAAATTTCTAGGAGATTCTCCTTTAGACAGGGACCCTAGTAATTTTATTTAAAAAGTCACAGCTTCAGAAACCAGTAAAGTTATATTTCTTACAGAGCAAGGTAAATACTTCTCAAAAATCCATCTACTTCATTTTTTAGTCTCCACTACAAAAGCCTTCTTTTACTAATACAGTTGGTAAATACTAGGATTCCAAAACACACACACATTGATTTTTCTTAGTATGTGTGGTGGCAATTCAGAGTTCATACATCTCTAGAAATGCAATGAAGTGGTAACTTCTCTTAAGAATATTTGCTTTTAGTAAAGCTAATTATGCAAGACTTTAAAAAGTGCGCCTAAATTCATCTTTAAGCAATAAGGGACTGATTTTCAACAGTGCTGAGCACTGAATTGTTGGACACCCAGCACTTTGAAAATCAGGCCATTTGTTTAGGTGTCTAAATGTGTACTTTGGCCAAGGTGTTTTAAAAATGTGTGCCTAATGTCTTAGTGTTGCAAGAAATGGTATCCCAAAGTAATGTGCATACACCTGTATGACACATTATAACTGTTTGTTCTGTCCAAAATGTGAAAAACATAAGTATAACCTTAAATTTACAGAACCCGTTTAAAGACCTTTTTAAACCTTGACTTCAAACTCAGGGACATTTATGCTTTATGTGTGGCCTATCCAGAACCTCTTGGAGAGAGACTTTATACAGAGACTAAATTTTTTTTGGAAAATCATGTACGCCATTTGCACAAGGTAACTATTATATGACTAAAAATATGCATGTTTTGTCACTGTACATAACAAAGAAATTCTGCCAGTCCTATGTGGATAGATGTAGCTGACAAGGTTCAGAGTACATATTCTTGCTGCTTTCGCTATTCCTTAAAGGGAGTATAAAACATGGTCTCATAACCCAAAATATACCTTAGTTTTGTAACATTTTGTTGGATTGAGGGGGAGTGTAAATGTATTTAGTGTGACTGGATAATTTCAACTAAAATTATTTGAATAGTTTTCCAAAAGTGTCTTCTACTTCTTTATATTTTACTGGGGAAAAAAGTTGAAAATAGGAGGGAGGGGAGAGATGGGGAAGCACAGAAAATTAGATTACCAAAGCATTGTCCAGTTGAGTATTTGCTTTATAAACATGTACTCATGAGGATATTTCAGCAATTCTATTTTTGTCCTTCATATACCGATTGAGTCAATCAAACTATATTTCTTCCAGCTTGCAGTATAAATTCAGTTTCCCTGAAATAGGGACTCTGAGTTTGTCCTTGTGGCTTGAAGTACACTATTGAAACTCATAGTAATCAATTGACTCTCTTATGCTGTCAAAAAATACTGCACATGCATGTATACACAATATTTTGCCATTACATTTGGAAAAAACACTTATAATGTGGCATGTTTTTTTTTCCTTCATAGCGTGTTCTGGAATCTGAAGAACAAGTACTGGTTATGTATCATAGATACTGGGAAGAATACAGTAAAGGGGCAGACTACATGGACTGTTTATACAGGTAAATTTTGCCAACAAGCTTTTTTAAACAATGTAACTGGAGATCACTGGAGTAAGACAGTTCGCGGATAACTTGTAGAGAGTTGGTTAAAGGATGCTGTAGAAGATGACCTTGCTCACGTAATATGGTGGCAGCTTTAGCCATGGTTAGAATATAGCCCAGATTGTTAATGACTATAGTGTTATAATTTGATAATGGTCTCTATGAAATAGGTTTGTGGTCTCAATGTTTAGTGCAGTGGTTCCCAAGCTGTGGTCTAGCGATATCTGTGGAACACATGCTAGTGGTCCACAGAAAGTTGGCTGGCCAAGTTGTGCCAACTCCCTTCTCTGTTTCTACGTGCTACACTGCATTAAAGATAGGAGGGAACTCTGTGTAGCTCGAAAGCTTGCCTCTATTACCCATAGAAGTTGGTCCAATAAAAGATCTAGCCTCACCTCACCTTATCTCTCTGTAGTTTACTAAGGTCGTTGTATGTAGTATGTAAGAATTGTTTGAGTGAATGTCCACGCAATTTCCATCATTGGTGCAAATACAATCTGATCTTGCATGCAAGGGCTCTTTTGAATAGTAGTGTCCTTCCTTTGGGGTGGCACCTGCACTCTGAATGGCCTCTTGATTCCTGTAGCGAAAGGCATACAGGACAGTGAGGCCTCAACCATCACTCAGTTCCTTCTTACTGCCTGTGACTGCAAGATGGAACATCAGCAGCATCTACATCCCTTGCTTCTAGGGATTAGGCTATTACTTTAGTAGCTTTTAGGTAGGTTAGAGTAGTTAGTAGGTTAGATTTGTTAGATTTCATTTTTGCCCACTGACATTTAAAATAAAACCGCTTTATGCATACCTGTTTTCTTTCCATGCATGCAAAGCAGCACGAGTGAATGAGACCCCCTAGGAAAAGTGGATGAAAAGGACAGGAAAAGCCAAGATGATAAAACTATTGTTAACACTGATGTTCTTAGTCTATATTACGTAAAACTTTAAATTTGACACTTCATAGATTTTTTTTTTTTTAGTGTATAAGCTTCACAAGTTGGTTTAGGTGAGGACGACTATATCATTGTGTCTCATTTATAATATCTCTTTAAAAATCCTGCTTTTCTCAAGGTTTTGTCTAAATTACTTGTATATTAAGAACTCTATATGAAAACACAAATTTTATCTTTGGTCTCTGGTATAAAGGTGGAAACCTGTATAGTTTCCTAAGAACGTGTTGAATGAACGTTCTAGGCTTGCAATACAGCATTCACTTTTCATATACGTAAAAGTTAGTTTCTAAAATTATTAAATTTACTTAGCATTTTCCTGTTCTTCTTCAAGTGATTGCTCATGTGCATTCCACAAAAGGTGTGCGTGCTCGCCATGTGCACCACTGCCGGAAGTTTTTTCTCCTAGCAGTACCGTAGGGGAGTGCCCGTAACAACCCCTGGAGTGGTGCCTCTATGATGCGGTATAAGGAGCACTGTGTGCTTCTCCCCCCCCCCAACCCCACCCTCAGTTCCTTCCTGCTGCCAGTAAAGGTGCATCGGAACTGCTCTGCTCCAACTTGGCTGCAGCTTTCCTCTTGAACTCTTGTTCGTTCATAGTTAGTAGTACCTGTAGTTAAAGTAGTTTAGATGAGTGTTAGTTTAGTTTAGTGCGCCCGTGTTGGGGCATGCCCTGTGGTTTAAGTCGTGCAACACTTGCGGGCGGCCGCTGCCAGTGAGTGATCCGTACATAGACTGTTTACGCTGTCTGGGGGAAACCCATCTCAGCGATCGCTGCAAGGTTTACAGATCCTTCAAGCCTCAGACCAAGAAGGAAAGGGGCTCCAAGCCATTCTGATGGAGTTGGTGTTGACTCCTACTCCAGTGCGCCACTCTGAGTCGGCACTGAGTACTGCGGTGTCGGTGCACAGCAACCCTTCGGTGCCTGGCACCGCTCTCCGTCTGCGGGGCATGCCAAAAAGGGTAAGAGAAAGTCATCTCCACCGAGTCACCAGAGCAAGACCGGGGGAGAGACTAGACCCACACTGGGCAGTTCTCGATCCCTGTCGGCCTCCAGACCTCCGACTCGTGTTGAGCAGAGCAGCCCAGCCCACTCGACGCCGACCTCCCCGGATGTCTGGGTGCTCTCCACGCCGGAGGCGCTGCAAGTGGCCCGGGATGTTATGTCTCTGCTGGTACCAGGGCACCATTGGCTCCCCAGTCCAGAGGCAAGCCACCACTTGGCTCTCCGCAGTCACCGCCTGGTCGGTACTGTGCATGGTCTAGGCAATGTTCCTGATGCCGTTCGCCATCGACCCCCAGCAGGTTGTATGGCTGGGTCCCGCTGGCAGGGGTTCCAGGCACCACTCCGCCTCGAGGGACCATAGACCTTGCAAGGGGAGCGGGCCCCATCGAGACCGGGACTGATGCAAGCGGAGGTCCTAGTCTCCGAGAGACTATCGTAGCCCGTCACGATACGGCATGTTCCCGTTCTTGGTCTTGCTCCAGGACCCCGCCGAGGTGCCAGCGATCGACGCAGTCCTAGGCATCGATCGCTGGCACCTCGCTGTCATGCATCTACCCATCAGAGCCAATCGCGGAGCAGCTGTTACCAGTGGTACTCCCACTCCTCCGCGCTGGGATCCAGGTCTTGTGGTTGGCACCGTTCCCAATGCCAGTGCTTCTCCCAGTCGCGGGACGGTGGCAGGTCATATGCCATGCCAGCCTCCCTTCATAGTCATCAGTCGATAGGACAGGCTGAACAGCCTGCTACGCCGGTACCACATCAGGTGCAGTTTCACTGGGCATCTTGGCTGGCACCATTGTACCAATGGGCCCCGTGGCCCCTGACACAGCCACCAGTGGTGGCTCGCTTGGTGGCTGGAGCCTTGGAAAGACAGTCAGCCTTCCTATATCAGCCTCCCAGAAGGGAGTCGGTGGGCCATTGATCTCCGGTTCCACGCCCGGAGAGGGACTAAGTGGTGGGACCTCTGGCACCGGTGGGTACGCAGAATACCGCACCCCCATCCTCATCCTTCCCTGATGAGGTGATTACGGCCCCTCCTCCACCTGTTCCACAGGAGGACTCTAAGGCCCACCAGAAACTGTTGAAAAGGGTGGCATAGAGCCTCAATTTTCAAGCCAAGGAGGTGGCGGAACCCTTGGACTCCCTCTTCAACGTCCTCTCGACCTCGCCACCGCGCAGGGTGGCCCTCCCACTCCATGAAGGGGTGGCAAAAATTTCAAACCCCGGCTTCCTTGCCCCCCAATCTCTAAGAGGGTGGAATGGAAGTACTTTGTGCCCACCAAGGGGCATGGATACCTGTACACCTACCCTGCCCCCAACTCCCTGGTGGCAGAGTCAGTTAACCAGCCCCTACTCCAAAAAATAAAGACTCAAGGAGGCTGGACTTACTTGGGAGAAATGTTTATTCATCCTCAAGTTTCCAGTTAAGGGTGGCAAACCATGAAGTCCTCCTGGGGCAGTATGATTTCCGTTTGTGGGGCTCTCTGCTGAAATTCAAGGACTCCCTCCAGGAGCGTGACAAGAGGGAGTTCAAGGCTCTGGTGGAGGAGGGTACAGCGTCTGCTAAGGCGACCCTGCAGGCAGCGTCGGATGCTGTGGATACGGCTGCAAGGTCTATGGCCTCTGAGGTGTCCCATGAGGAGGGTGCCGTGGCTTCTGCTGTCTGGTATGTCCAGCGAGGCAGAATTCCTTCCGTTCGATGGCAAGGCCCTGTTTCCAGAACAGATGGACGTGAAATTGCACAGGCTGAAAGATTCCCGCACAATGCTTAAGACACTTGGCCTCTATGTCCCGGCTCTGGCCAGGACCAAGTTTAAGCCTCAGCCAGCTCCGACCCAGGCCACCCACTCTAAATATGAGTCCCCTTATAAAAAGTTACGGGACTATAAGAAATGCCCAAAGAGGCAGTCCCGTTCTGCCCCCACAGCTTGGGCCTTCCAAGGGCAAACAGGTGGGAAATCATCAGTTTTGACGGGATGCCCAGGAGCGACTTACCCGTTTATACCAGGGATCCACCCACAATAAAGCTTCCCTTCTCTAACCGGTTGTGTGCTTTTCTCCCAGAGTGGTCGTGGCTGACGTTGGACCGTTGGTCCTCAATACCGTCTCCTGGGGCTACACCCACCAGTTTACCTCTACCCCGCTCAATCACCCTCCATCCCCGTCCCTCCTAGGGACCCCTCTCACGAGGCCCTGCTAGAGCAGGAGTTGGGGCGGCTCCTTGGCCTGATGGTGCCAGCAGAATTCAGACACAAGAGGTACTACTCCTGCTATTTCCTTATCCCGAAGGCCAAAGGGGGGCTCAGGCCCATTCTGGACCTGCGAGGCCTGAACCAGTACATGATAAAGCTCAAGATGCGCATGGTCTCTCGGGCCTTCATCATCCGCTCCCTGGATCCTGGGGACTGGTACGCTGCCCTCAATCTGCAGGACACATACTTCCACATTCATATATTCAAGGGGCAGAGGCGCTTCCTCCGTTTCACGGTTGGGCAGGAGCACTGCCAATTTACAGTCCTCCCGTTTGGCCTGTCCACTGCTCCCAGGGTATTCACAAAGTGTATGTCTGTGGTGGCAGCCTACCTCAGATGTCGTGGGGTCCAGATCTTCCCCTATCTGGATGACTGGCTGGTCAAGGGCAGCTCCCGGTCACAGTGTGGGATCACGTGGCGCTCCTCCTGTCCATATGCGCCACCTTGGGCCTGTTGGTGAGCAACACCAAGTCCATGTTAGTCCCGGTGCAGCGCATAGAGTTTATTGGGACAGTCCTGGACACATCGGCCAAGGCCTCCTTCCCACCGGACAGATTCGAGACCCTAAAAGGGCTCATCAACATAGTCACAAGGTTCCCCGTGACCACAGCCAGAGCGTGCCTCCAGCTCCTGGGTCACATATCAGCGTGCACATACGTGGTTCGCCATGCCAGACTCAGAATGAGGCCCCTCCAGCTCTGGTTGGCCTTGATGTTCTCCCAGTCCAGAGACAGGATGGACAAAGTCCTCACT